CAAAAAGGTAGAAATGAGAGTGTTTGCAGTACCTCTTCTTTTCGCTTGTTGTTTGGCCATCAGTGACCACGTTGAAGCTCTCTTTCCTGTTCAAGACACGTCACTCTCAATCGAAGACAGAGTTAAGGTATCACACGAGGCACGCATTGCTCACTTTTGAGGTTTCTTTTGAGGTTTCTTTAATACGACCAAATACAAATTGCACAAATCTTTTTAAAATATTCAAATATTCTTTCATGAAAACTTTAATGTTTGTACTTTACAACTTGCAACTGACATTACCGTATAGCGCTTTATTTAGGAGCAAAATTTTTGCTATTTTCGTGGGTTAGCATGCAACCGGGAAATTAAAGATACGCTAAAATTCAATTGCCATTAAAGGCATGGTACTAATATTGTGAATCCGCAAAAGTTATTTCCATGAAAAATTGATTTTATCAATCTGCAAATTTTACGTCTGTAAAATTAAAGTGCTATATACGGTATTTGGTGGTTTTGCTACAAATTTCTTTCTCACTTCCCCACCAGTATCAAGTCCCCATCAAATTGTGTTATCATTCCCATGGCATGATTATGGTATGTGCTGATTGGGGTACAAAATATGACATGCTATTTCTATGTATGCAACTTTTATGTATCCAGTTTCTATTTTTATAGTAGTTTCATTTATAATAGGATATCGTTGATAATCTTACTTTGGAAGAGCTAGTGGAACAAATGGCACATGGTGGTGCTACTTTAAATGGTATGTTGAAATCACAAACAATAATTAAGAAACTATAGATAATTATAATAATATTATTATTATGTTGATTAACTTAGTGTATAATTTTTATTTGTTAGGTCCAGCTCCAGGGATTCCACGGCTGCATATAAACCCCTACCAGTGGGGTACTGAGTGTCTCTCTGGAGATGTTAGTGCTGGAGATGCAACATCCTTTCCAATGCCTATAGGAATGGTAAGGAGTTAGATGTACAACTACTGAATAGGATCTCCTTTAGTCTCTATTACATGCATGTACAAGAGCATACGATGTATTGGATAAATTTGGCGTTGGGATTTTTGTTTGTGATGATTCTACAGCCACTTGTCATTTTAGCATGCTTATAATAAAGTGAAATTGCAGATATAATTTTGGCAATTTCATCATTATTTTGCCAATTGCTAAAATAAAACTGTCATTTTTTCCAGTAGTAGGAATAGGGAAGCAAACTAGCAGGAGTTCCTAATAAAGATTTGTTTGATTGTATGAATGTACTTGTGTGATTAGCCCCATTACTTAGTTTTCTTCCTTCACCTACATTTACACATATATATACTCTGTTTTTTTCATAGGATTTTGGTATACTGTTTGTATCTTGTCAGCAAATTTTCAAATTTGTTTGGCAAATTACCCTA